ATCTCTTGTTGTAATAGCTTCCCGTTTACATGCATTTTAATTCGTCAACAACCATGTCCATATTTAGGCGATTTGTTGGGCTCCTCAAAGTACATTTTTTTGCAATATTTTCAATGACTCCACCATCTTCATTTCCATTTAATGTATGTCTTTACTTACATTACAAAGAAGTATACCTAAATATCAGAACAGAATGACTGTCTGAAAGAACCATCAATTAATTCAGGGGCAATATGTCTGTGTTTTTTTGAGTATGCCTCTCTTTCCTCAGGGGGGACACATTTTTTTCTTCCAGATTTGACTGCACAGCTTTTTCCAAAATCAATTATCACTGGACTTGGCTTTCCTTCAATAAAATCAATAACTACATTGTCTGTTTTTAAGTCATTATGCAAATATCCTTTAATATGCATTTGTAAAAGTCCTCTAGCAACTCCATAGCAGATGGCTTTAAAGTATTTCCCTTCTATGRCAGTYTTATCTTGATTTTTCAATGCATACCATAAAGGAATTCCTTGCTGTTTTCTTCCATGAAACTTTGTAACAATATATTTTTCTTTCAAGGTTTTTGGGCTTAWGCCTAATAATATTGGCATGTTTGGATGTCCCTCAAGAACCTTTATAATCTTTGCTTCATTAAGTAAATCTTGGTAGGAGCTTTCTCTTAAGTATTTAACTGACACTTCAATGTTACGGTAGAGCTTTAATGTGCAGAYACCAAAAGCTCCACTGCCAATGTGCTTYKATTTTTTATTATGATCCAGTTCTAAGTCACTGAGCAAGTCTTTATGAATTTCTGTAAAATCATATTTCCCTTCAGTGCTTAATGGTGATGGTGGAGTAATTGTTTTCTTGTTAAGCCTTTTCAAATGATAACCTTGGTACTCTAACTGTTGTTTGGTCCTTTGAAGTTCCAGCTCGGTATAGTCAAGCTCCTTTTGTACAGAATGATGCTGTTCATTTGTTTCTTCTAATTTTCCCTTCAAAATTTCATTTTCTTTTATAAGTGCTGTATTAGCTGATGTTTGACTATTCACAGTACAGCTGTTTGCATCAA